GCACGACCCCAGTCCTGCCTTCCTGGGGCCGGCAGGCGGACGGGGAGAACCGGGCTCAGATGGTCACAGACCAGGGCAGCAGGAGGCTGCGAGTACAGCTTGAGCTCGGACCGGAGGGAGGGGTGAGGAAGGGAGGCTGTGTCTGCGGCCTCCACGGGTGCTCCAGGAGGAAGAATCAGCCCGGCAACAGCCCTGTGGCCGGACGGCAGGGGCTAATGAGAGCATGCCAGACGCCACTGTGGCTGAAGGGAATGAGGAGGCAGAACCAGGCCTCCATGAAGGAGGTCCCTAGAGGCCACTGGGGAGTTGGGCCTTGATCTTGAGCAGCTCAGGAAGCCAGTGAAAGGCCTAGAAGTGGGCCATGGTGAGCCAAGGTGGGTGGGGGAGGGCAGGGCCCACAGGAGAAGGCCCAGATTGGATACAGGATTCGGAGGCCAAGAGAGGGAGCCTGAGTAATGGAAGGACAGTGAGGCCACTCCTGACCCTGGGAATGCCTTCAAGGGCCAGGTGGTGGGTAGGGCTGGAGGCCAGATTTGAACTTGGAGGCTTCTGAATCTGCTGTACCTTGGGGATGGCCCAGGGACCAGGCCCAGTAGCCTGTGCATCCCATGGGTCTGGGCAGAGGCCAGAGTAAAAAACACTGTTACCGAAGGCCAGGCCGCAGGAAGGCTGGAGCAGGAGGGGCAGGAGGAAACCAGGCGGGAGGGTGTGCTGGACGCCGGGGAAGCTCGGAGAACGGAGAACGCGGCCCACAATCTGCTCAGGGGCCTGGGGCAGACGGCCTTGGCAGCCCTGGTCCCCTCTGGGAAATGGGTGGAACGCATGAGGAGGGCAAAGCGCTCCGTACAGTGCAAAGCGCTGAACAGACCTGAGGCCCCCGGCGCGCCACCTCCCAGGGCCTCCCCCAGCAGCATCGGAGCCCCGAGGGCGCGGCCCAGCGCAGCGGCGTGGCGGCCAGGACGGCGCCGCTCGCGTTAGGACCCAGCGGATGCGGGGCTGGAGGGCGGGCGCCGGCACCGTCGGGGGCCCGGGGGGGGGGTCGCAGCGGGGGGGGGGGGCGGG